GTGATAACCACTTTAACTCGCTATTCCAAGTTAGGTTAGGACAGCATTCATGGTTTAATTTAGAATTTAGATTTCTGTGAAGACATCAATATTGTCATATTAAATTATGTATCTTAAAAATTAGTTTTACATCCTCCTTAAACAACACCAACTCTATCAGTAAATCAACAATGAGGTGTTCTAAGTGGATACAAACAGTACAAATTCTGAAGAAAGGCAGAATTAAAATTATGCCTTTCAGGCTCTAAATTAATTTCTTTGGGGGGGCAGAGGCATCATACCAAAAAATGAATCTTGAAAGTCATGACTGTGAATTGCCAAGGGCAAGAACTCAAATAAGGAAAACACCTTTGTTGTTGCTGTGTTTGTTTTGCCTGTTCTGTAATCCCAAAAGCATAGTATTGAACAGTGAAGTTTATACAGAGAACTGGAAAGTAGAAGAGATCTCCTAACAGCAGAGGAGCCATTTTTCTGGAAGCAAGCAGTAAGGTCCCAACCTGAGCCTGGTGATGCGAGCAAGATATAAAGGTTAGTGACTCTTTGGAAAGGAATCTGCTGCCCCTTCCTCTGGGTAGCACAGTAGACTCAGGTGAGGTTGCTGCAAAATTACACCGTTGCCCAAAGAAAGCCCAGAGGGGTTTGAAGAGCTCCTGCAGCAGCAAGGATAGCTTACCTCCCTGAGGTAGAGCCTGTTTTATTGAAACAAAAAGCTTAATAGAAAAACCAGAGTCCCAGCATTGCAGCAAATTGGTGAAGGAATACATTTGTTTTATCAGCACACAATTCAACTCATACCAAGTAAGAAGAGCTAAAGATGTGTTGTCTAAAACATCTGGTGGACGCTCATCCGGTCCACACCTACAAACACAGTGCAGAGGAGGTGGCTGAGATTCCCTGAGCCTGTGAAAGAGCCTTGTAAGTGCCTGCAAAAACTAGTGAGGAGAAGTCACCTAGAAGCTGGGGCCAAAGGGATTCAAAACCAACTAAATGGACAGCTGGAGGTCATGACAAGTCCAAGGACTCACCAAGTAGTTAGGAAAAGGGGATACAACCAATCACCTAAGACCAGAGGTTGAGTTTCCCTCCTTCTGGCTAAGACAGAGAACCAGGTTCCCTTCTTTGCTCAGTATACTCAGTGTCAGAACAGACACTTTCTGAGGAGACATTCATCCTCAAGGCAACATTTGCCCTGGGAAGTGGTCAGATGCAGAGGCCAGGTGCTAAGGGCCATGTTTCTGGAAAGAATTATAAGAACAACTTCAGCACTATAGCCATGCTGTCTAAGGAGCAAACTCCTAAAACACAGTGACTTAGTAACATAGGATTTGATTCCTTTCTCAGGGGACAGTGTGAGTTATGGGGTGTGGGTTAGGCAATTAGACCCTCCATATGTGGCTTTCTTGTCTCAATCTACAGCAACCATTTCAGTGGCAACATTTTCAAGAAGGAAGAGAAAGGAAAAAGTCCACATCAAGTGGCTCTGACTTGAGGAAATGACCTTGGGTTTTAGGCATATCTTTCTACTGACAGCTCATTGCCAAAACATTTGTAACAATGTTAGCTACCTGGCTAATAGAAATGAGGGCAACTGTGGTTAACAGCTGGAGGGCTAGTGTTTTATTTCTAAAAGTAAACATAAAATAGTGGACCTTGAGGAATATTTCTGCCATAAGCATCAGAGAAAATATGATCTTAGAATGCCAGGCTATAATGCCAATCTCTGTGAAAGCAAAAGTTTCTTGAGCGGTCTTACTTTGACACCACATTGACATGAACTCTTTAGAACCAAATTTGGGTAGTTTAACAACATAAAAAAGAAATCCACTTTGTTAATGTAATTTCCTATAGCAATTAATGGTAATTTTTCTTCCTACTCAGAACCTAAATTTGTGAAAAAGAACATCCCTCCTCCCATCAGCTACCTTTTCTCAGATCCAATCGGAAGGAAAGTGGCTTATAGTTAACTAGTAAATTAGCCTGAGCAACCATACTTTATGTGCTTGAATTAGTCCATCCTCCCAGTGGTGTTTCCAAAACCATAAGTTACTTCTCAGAGTCCTCCTGCACATCTTTCATTGTGCACTCCTTTCAATTCAATTAGCCCTGGGTAGAATCAGGGTAAGTAAACAGGGCTTCTTTAGTCCCAAGAATAAACTCAATCATCAGAAATTACTTCTACTTCCCATTCACCTTTATGCTGATGAGAGTCATTAAGGGAAGAAAAGTCTGTATTCTTCCTATAGCAAGAATGAATGTAGATTAAGTGGGTACCAATCTATATAAATGGAACAGTGAGATTTTAAGAACTTTAACTGGGTCCTGGTGGATATCATTTTGAGCTGTATTGACCATAGTTTAACGCATACCCAGTGCAATGGCTTTTAGTTGAACAGGGCTTCTTATCTGGTTGATCCACTCTAAGCCCTGAAAGCTTGA